GGTGATGCGTGTCCGGAAGGACTCGAGCCGGCGATTTTTCCAAAAAATTTGGAACCATTTCTCGATTTGTGCGTGTCATCCTTGCGCAGGGGCCATGCTAATCTTCTCTGTATTTTTCCAATTTTAACATTTGTGCCGAAGCACGTCAAAAGCGCAAATTCAGTATAATATATATACATATAACATGCATATGCACAGAACACATACGCGCCCACTGTGGGACATCGTTGCCATGCGGCCGTACTCAACCCTCGCACTACTCAACAAACTCGTTATCCTCACACCACCCCTGCACATTCCTACTGCTTCCTCCACGCCGTGGAGGAAAATCTTGTCTCTCGCTCGCTCACTTTCTGTCTCTCGCTCGCTCGCTCACGCACGCCCTTACCACCAAGTCGCTCACCCAGTGCAGACATGCTGCAGACCTTCCGCCACACTCGTCACCTCGTCGCAATCCTCGGTGTACGCAGCAGCCAGGCCCCCACATGTAGACGGCCATCGGCCGCACCTGCTGCCTCTGTTGGACTTCTTTTCCGTCCAGTTCGAGGGGTGACGAGTTCGAGGGGTGACCCTTTGGAAAGTTGGTTGGGGGAAACGGGGTTAAACGCTTGGGTCGAAGCTCTGACCCGACCAGCAGCGAGCAGCCAGCGGGAGACTGTTGCCGCCTTTAGGGATGTTAGGACGGAGTCTGCGACATGCAGCCACACACGCACGGCAGCAGCGTGCAGCAGCACTACCGCCTGGTCGCTGCACGCTAGCTGGTGTACGTACGTAAATATCCATCCACGAAACCTGCTCGCTTGACCATCCAGAGGCGCCAATCGCCGTTGCATATGGCCCCAATCGTCGCTGCCTGCCCAGTGGGTCCGCATGCATGCGTGCATGCATGCATAAAGGTGCGTGCATAAAGGCCCATCGCTCAACAAGAACACCTATGCTGGACCAACCGAACTACACAGGCTGGTACGGCGTAGCAATGCGCCCTGCTATTCGCTTGAGACCCGTCTTAGCCGGATCCTAGGGTTTTACCCAGCCCGTACGTAGGGTCCCTGCAGCCTGGACCCTGCTAAACGGGCCCTGACTCCCCTGTGCTTGCACACTCCAAGCAATCAGTAGCTGTCGTCGCTTGGGCTACTACTACAGCAACACATACACATATGCCAGCACCTCGCAATGGGTCATGTATGTCCTTTTGCTGTTAAAAAATCGGGTTTGCACAGCAACAGTAACGTGTCAGGGACGGCCTCTGTCTGGGCCTCTACCTGAGTCGAAAACTGCAGTGTGTGTGCGTGTCTGTGTTGTGTTGTAGTGTTGGCTGGCTGCGTGCCTGTGGCGGACTTGCTTGTTGCGGCCTGCTGTGGCGCTTTATTCGGCTTGGTAGCTCAATGGTGGAGCGTCGGATTCCAACACACGGACCTATCCGAAGGTTGTGGGTTCAATCCCCACCCGGGTCAGCCTATTGGCGCAGAAGGCGATCACGACACACCTCCCACCTCCCTCATGGACG